CCCCCCCGGGGGCGGGCGGCCGTCGGGGTAGCATCCCCCTCGGCGCTGCCCTGCGGGCCGGGATTTCGCTGAGCTGCGGCGGTAAATACACTGATACTATTAGAGCCCAAGCCGCTCCCTGTAATCCAGCTACTGCAGCGTGGGGCCGGGGAGCCGGCGGGGTCGGGGCCAAGGTCCCAGCCCGGCCCCTGCCTGCCTTTGCTTGGGCAGCCAGAAAAGGCCGTGGTGGTGTCCTGGCCACAGCTTTCTCTTCTGGTAACAGTTTCGGTTCCATTCCCCGGGGTCAGAGGAAACGCGAGCTGACGATCAGGCCGGGGAGGGAGGCTGGTGTTGGGTTTGTAACGCAGCTGCTCGCTTACTTACCCTTTGACTTCAGGCAAGTTACTGAAATAATCTACACCTCAGTGTGATTGTCTGTAAAATAGAGCCATTAACAGAAAGAAAAAAAAAAATCAAAATAAAAGTGGTTTTTAATAGCTAACAACTATCAGGAGATGTGGAACTGAGTTTTTGGTTTTTTTATTACTTTAAAATATTTGCCCCATTAGGTAGGAGAAGCATTGGGTATCAAAGCTGAAAACAGTTCTCTATTTAAGTAGACAAGCAATAGTCCTTAAACTTGAGCTTTCAGCACCTACATTTTTGCACACTGGTTTCATGCTAAATGAGCCATTGAGCAATGCCAGATTTCCCCTGGCCAGAGGGCAGGACACTGGAGAACATAGGGCTTGAGAAGATGCATCAGCTGACAGCCCTAAAGACCTCTATCCATCTGCAAAACAAGGGCCCGAGACTAAGAAAATAGTGTGCCTCATTCATGCTTCTCTCCTTACACTTGCCGTTTGAGTTTTGGTGTGCCCTGTAAGAATGTGACAGCTTGTAACCTTCACAGTGGCCACTGAACAGCACAGTACCCAAGCCTTTCCCTTTCAGCCTTTGCAGACTTGGGCTGGACATCTTAGAAGTTAAAAAGAAGGAGGAAAAAAAAAATTGTAGTCCACTGAGCTGTCCAGCTACATTGCGCTTTCCTTTTTCACTGAGTTTTTCAGAGCAAAGAACACTTTAACCTTTAGTAGTACTTAAGCGCTTGCTTTATTTAAGCAGGCAATAACTGAAAAAGATAAAAGTTCTTATTGTTGCTTTTTTTTTTTTTTGTAGGCAAAAGATACCCTTCTTTAGTTTTTGGGACACCCAAATCATCCAAGAGCATTATTGGGAAAAGCAGTCCTCTCTGGCAATACATACTGGATCACTCTTTGCGGGAGCATCCAATTCTAAAGAAGCTGCGACTGGTCAGTATTTTATCCCCCAACGCAGGTTTTCTGTTCAGTGGCGTTACTGTTCCACTAGGACCTTTTTCTCCATGGGTCCCAAGCCCATGTGGTTGGGCCGCACTTGATTTTGACTTGAACAGATGACTTCTGTTCATTTCAGTAGGCATATAAGGAAACTATAGCTCAGAGAGGTGATGTCCTCCAGCAGGCCTCAGAACAGACCTCCTGACTTCAGGGTTGAGTCATTTCAGGTGAGAAAAACTACTCCTGTATAAAAGCAATCAAATGTTAAGTACTGGAGCTGGTTGGTTGGAATGAGCCCTAGAGGAAGAAAGGAAATGGGAAGACTGTCCTTTCCATTCAAGGGCCACGCACAGCTCTGCTTCCCTTGCTGCCTCCTCCTCCGTCCCAGGGGCCCTCCCACCCTGGCATGGGCACAGCTCCTCCAGCTTTGCGCTGTGTAGCCAGAACCACATGGTCTGACCTTTGGCAACAGACTTTAACCTCGCAGTTCATAAAACCATCCCACATGTCTTGGAGGAATAAGGGCATAAGTACAAAGCTTATAATTTTTTTTTTTTAAAGTGCATCTGTTTATATAAATACACAGAATAAAGGACTTTTACAGTCAAGGTTCCTCAGTGGTTTTCATCAGTTATAACTATTGTTGAGTTTGCCACAGCCGTGGTAACTTTGGGGCATACTGCTTTGAATGATGAGCCACTGCTTATGACACACCCCCCGCCCTCCTTAGTTACTGTTAAATTCAAACCAATTTCTGGCTCACAGATGGAGTGCAAAGCCATCTAAAATGAGAAAGGTAGGAGTATCTGTTTTTCCTGGGATTTCTCTGGGTTTTTTCCCTAGGACAGTGTTTTGGAAGCTTTGGGTTTTGTTTGTTGTGATGTGGTTTTTTTTTTCCCCCTTTCTAGCTCACCACTGATCATCCCTGGAGTAAAATGATGGTGTCCTGTGACCAGGCTCAGCTTATGGCAAACCTGGTCAAGCTCATTAAAGCCAAGAAAGTTATTGAAATAGGTAAGAGTGTCATTCTGTCCCCTCTGTAGTAGGATAAAGCTCCTGCGTATGCTTCTCCAAATACAGCCATGTTTACGTAAGATAAGATATCTAAACATAGTAAGGGACTGCATACCTGTCTTGGCAAACAGGAGGGCAAACTACAATGTGAAAAGTAGTGTCTGATTTGCACTTACTTGCCACTTTGTCTATCTGTGCGTTCAGTAGTTCTGGCATTGGCATGAATGTCTCGTGAACTCTGGGGGAATCTGAAAAAATAAGATCAACAAATCACTTGGGTCTCCAGCAGTTGCAGGACAGGGTGTATTCTTTCCTTCCTCTATCAGCTTCTTGCCAGAAGGAAATGTTCTGCTGCACATGCCCTGCATCCAATCCACATTTCTTGATGCACCTATGTTAGCAGGATGTCCCCATGCCAGACCGATGCTGAGCAGCCAGGTATGGGTTCCCACCATCTTCATTCTTGGCCTGGCTGTTATGATGCCCTGGTATTTTGCTGCTGGTCCAGTCCCTTTGACTCAGGATTTAGCTCCACTTTTAAATAAGGCTGTTCCTCAGAGGTGCGGGATCAGACTCTGCCCTGTGAGTCCAGGAGACTTTTGGAAAAAGCAAACATTAAGCTTTGCTAAAAGATTGATTTTAAAAAAAAAAAAAAAAAAAAGAGTAAAAATTCCTCCCAGCCCACCATTAAACTAAAGTGGGGATAAAACTTTTGTAAAAAATTAGTTTTAAAAAAAAAAAAAAAAAAAAAAGAGTAAAAATTCCTCCCAGCCCACCATTACACTAAAGTGGAGGAGAAAACCTTTTGTGTCCATTAACAAATTGCCATCCTTGACTTCTTTGGGGTTTTTATTCCTGAAAGGAGCCCTGTAGTTCACCATTTATCTTTTTTTTTTTTTCCCCCTCACAATATGGTAAGTGTTGATGACTCTTATGATTTTCCTAGGTGTTTTCACAGGTTATAATACATTGAATATGGCACTTGTCCTGCCAGATAATGGCAGAGTTATTGCCTGTGATATAAATGAGGACTATGTCAAAATTGGAAAGCCACTGTGGAAGGAGGTAAGTAGCATCTCTTCTGTTACATGTTTGGGACAGCTGCATTTGCATGTCAAGGGATTTTTGGTATCTTAGACTTTCACATTCACACACAAGCATTCATATCATTAAAGGAGGCTGAGACAGTTCAATTTGGAAAAACAATTGCTGTCTGGAACCTAGAAATAATAGGAAAAATATCTGAACACCAGTCACTCCTCAAGTGCAACCTACTAACAGGTTGTTTCTTGACCACTTTCATCAACTCTTCATTCTTTTTCATTCTAGGCAGGAGTAGAGCATAAAATTGACCTGCGGATTAAGCCAGCAATTCAAACACTTGGTAAGTAACCTAAAATACTTTTTTTTTTTCCTCCCCTTCCCTAGAAATAGAAGATGAATATAATACTGATGAAATCTAAGACCAAATATGCTTGCGGATGTGATCTCTTTGCTAACAGTGAGACAGCTTCTCTTATATTACAAAAAAAAAAAATCAGAAAACTTCACAGCTTCAGAAGTTCACAGTTTTCCTACATGCTAGCAGAGAGGAAGAAAATGCTTGTCCTGTGTAGTGGGCTATACTGGTCACTCACCTGTCCTGTCCATTGCCTTGTTTAATCTATGAAGTACTATTGTCAGCTGCTTCTGGGAAAGCTGATTAAAACAGATTAATTAGACAAAGCCCAATTTCTCTTATCCATTGTCCATTCTAAGCAAGTATTTCTTTGTTATAGACAGGAGGAGTTTTCTGAAAGGGCTGAAGTGCAGAAAAAATACAGAAGCCAATATAAAACTTAGGGTATAACAGTTGAGTGGTGTCCAGAGGAGTTCAAATTTAGGATGTGCCAAAAGCATGTGAGGCCATTAGAAAGGCAATGACTTTTCTCATTCAAGAAAAGAGAAGATGTGGGGCAGAGGGAATATTAATAAATATTCTGAAAATGTAAGAGATTTTCTAGGAATGGAGGAGGCAGAAGGTTTCCAGCAAAGGTGTTTGATGGATCCACAGATCCATCCACAACATTGTATTACTTCCAAATTTATCCATCCTTTCTAAAGAGGCAAATATTAGCAATCTGCTAGGATGCACTGTCATTGAAGTCTGATGGACAGCTTTGTCTAGGCAACGCTTCAGACAAAAAAATCTTCTGTTGGCAGAGGATAAGGGCAGGTGAGAGGGATGGCCGGGAACCTTAAGATGGCAGCAGTCAGCCCTTCTGCAACTGGTGATTTGGACTTCTCGGTCAAAAAGTCCATTTAGGAGAACTTAAAACTGAATTCCACTTGCCTTGGCCCAGAGAGGGACTACTTACAGCAATCTTTTGCTGTGATGAAGGTCTCTGACAGGGTTTGTTCATGACCTATATTATGGCACTTGATCATCAACGAGAGATTAACATTTAGGAACTGTTCATAAATGTGAGAAAAATCCTAATCCACTTAAGAAAACAGTTCTCAGTCAGCTCAAAAAAATAGCTGAAGGTGTAGAGTGTGTTCAGTTTCAAACTGCTTGACTTGTTTATACTGCACCTTTCAGCAGTCCCAGCTATACCCTGCAGGTTTAGAACTACTCCATGAACTTCCAAGTAGGCAGAACTCAGTAACTGAGTGTTTTATGGCATGTCTAGATTGGTTTCTGTGGGATAAGCTTTTCTAGTAATTAGCTGTAGAGGAATAGGCTGCCTGGTCAAGGCACCAAAAACATTATTTAATGAGTACTCTGACACAAATGGATGACTTCTCCTACACAGCGTTAACCAGGGTGTTATGACTCACTTTGTTGCTCATCTAGATGAACTGTTGGCCAGTGGAGAAGCGGAAACCTTTGACTTTGCTTTCATTGATGCGGATAAAGAAAACTACAACGAGTACTATGAAAAATGTTTGCGCCTCATAAAGAAAGGGGGAATAATAGCTATTGATAATGTAAGTACTGCAGTTGTAGTGGTGGTAGCACAAGGAGTTACTGCTTTTGCCTCTGGGAAAGGAAAAAAAAAAAAAAAGTCACAGTGGGATTCTAGTAATGTGATTTCTGACCTGCAACTTGGTTGCCAAATGCAACATGTTTGTTCCATGAGAACAAAAAAAAAAAAAGGAGGCTTTTAAAATTTAACATAAATTCCTAAAGTAACCTATATGGAACATTAATATAAGCAAGGAATAAAACTCTATAGAAGTAAGAAGTAATGTGTTAAATTTATGTTAGTACATAAACAGTCTGTGATAACATAAACTTATCAAATTTTTTGTAATTCATTACAGAGAATGCTCTGTATTATTCTGGTTTGTCTTGTAGTACATTTTCTACTACGTACAGTACTTACACAAGATCAAAGGTAGCACTTGTAATCAGTAACTACTAATAAGTTATCGATTAATAACTTTTACTAGAAACAAAGAATGATGTTAAACTTCAGGCACCTTCAGGGTTATGGTGGCAGCTGAATAGGAGCTTTAAAAAATACCTATGTTTAATCATATCTTTTTTTTAATTTTGGCTTCTAATTTGCAGTAGAAGTACAATTAGCCAGTTCTGTGGACTCCCAATCCCACTTGCTTATGAGCGCTCCATGTCAGAGACTACTAGAAATCTGAAATACGATAAATAATATTAATTTCTAGAAAATATGCAGGACCTTTTCCAAAGCTTACTTTGTGGTCCAAGGAACATATTGGAACAAATGATGTGGATGACATTTCTTTTTTCTATAGGTCCTTTGGAGTGGAAGGGTGCTAAAACCAAGAAAGGATGACTTGGCAACCCAGAGCATCCACCACCTCAATGAGAAACTTCTCAGAGATGCACGAATCAATATCAGCATGCTCCCAATGGGGGATGGAGTCACATTAGCATTCAAGTTGTAACTGGAAGAAGCCCAGCAGATGGGAAACAACAAGCACCATCAAATCATCAGTAAAAATGCAGGCAGAGCAGTATCAAAAATGGTTATGTAACCCATATCTCCACTGGATAGCATAGCCTGGGAAAGTAGACTTTAGGAGCAGCAGGATCCTAAGGGCAGCTAAGTTGGAAGGAGAGACTTATTTTGAGATCTACTGTGGTTTCTTATTTTAATTGTAATAAAGCAAGTAAACTTACGTGAAGTTGTCCTTGTAAGACAGTGGTTGAAAAATATCTCCCTCTGTAGAATGACTGAGTTCCAAGTGAGTCAATACAACAAAGTCATTTTCTGTCCTAAAAGAGGCTACTAAGTAGCAGAATAATCAGTCCTACCATCAAAAGGAAAAGCAGTGGAGTTTACTAATGTTAAAAACCATAATAGAAAAATGGATTTTTAATGAAATGTACATGACATCAAGGAGACTGCTAGCCTTCTCAAACTAATGATATTGAAAGTCACTGGTAATTCTTGAAGGGTACTACATAAGAAGCCTCAAATATACACCATCCAGAAAAAACCAAAGTTGTCTTTAAAAGTGCGTCAAAGGATAAACAGGATTTCCAATACAGAGCACTCCCTAAAACCTTTGTGTGCAAGGACTGGGTTTCTTTAACCAAGGTAACAGTGCAGGTAGATTTTTTGAAGTCAGAATGAGGAAGAGCAAATGGGCAAGAAGAAAACTAAACCAATTCTTAGTCCTTCCTCTCTCCCTGCCACCTGCCCGCCAAAGAAGCGACTTGGTAAGTGCTTGTTTCCTAGAAAGCTGCAAGCACAGAGCACTGGTGGCAAGTCTACAGAAGGAAACTGATGATTGTATGAGGATGCAATACAGCTGTTAACTAGCTATTCAAATAATTACTGCAAGCAGAGATTCCCTTCCCTATGCAGCATGTAACAAAATGATGCTTTTTCCTGTGCCCTAGTAAAGTATTTTTCCTACAGTATTCTTAACTCCTAGTTAACTTCATTTGCTGTTGTCATCCATTCCTCTTGTTTCATCCTGATGCATTCTATAAAATTTTTGATCAAGAAACAGTAGTTGAAAAAGCTCACCTTACCTGGGACCAATGAAAGAGACTTAAGGGGCGGGAGGCATACTCTGTTCAAGCTGGAGAGTAAGAATCCAACTAATGACTTCTTTCCATGGTGAATTACAAATAGTAATAACTAATTTTTAGGGCTTTTTATTTCAGCCTGAAACTCTTATTACAGAGAAAACCTAATTAAGCAAGAAACCAAAACTAGCATTTTATAGACAAAAGCTCCACTGGCTACTGTTTCAGGGGACAGATACACTGGAAGAGTATCATATGTCTATTGAGGAAAAAGGTCACTTTAGATTTGCTGGCCTCCTGTAGGGAAGCTGTATCGGAGCTAAGAGAATCAATCTTCTGTTTGCTTAAATAATGCACTTGAATGACTCAAGGCATTGGGGACAAAGATTTCAAGTCTCAAAATTGTTAGAACTGGCTACTCAGCCCATATTTTTTAAATTTCAACTGGGTGGCTCGGGTTCTGATAAGGGGCAGATGTTCAGGGCACAGGTCTTACCGGTCTCAGACATCCATGGTAGTTTACTGCAGTGGGGGAGTAATGAAGAAAGGAAGCACCGCCTGATGGTTTCAGAGTGGGGCTACAAGTGAGGAGATCTCAATTCTATTTCTGTCACTTCCACTTAAAACCCTGATTCAGCAGAGCATGTCAGGATGTGCTTAAGTACTTTGCTGAATTGAGGACTGGCTGCTGTGAAGTAAAATCCATGCCTGGGAGAAGGCCAGGACAAGGTGCGTATGGCCCTTAAAGGAGATTTTAAACAGGGCATAAAGCTTGCCCAATTTCTTTTTCTGGTTACGGTTTTACCCTCAGAGCTTCAAACCTCTGTGTGCCTCAATTTTCTTACCTGCATAAAAGAAATAACACCTTACCAAAGTCTTAATGACTATAATAGCTCTCAGATGGAGTGGCTAAAGGAATATGCAAGATCATTATAGATTTGCATGCAAAGCTTCTGGCCATGTTCTACATTGCAATTTTACTTTTTAAGTAGATAACAAAAAATTGTAAGGGTTGCAAACACAAAATGGGAGACTTTAACAGCTGGGGCATCCTCACAAATATTCCTGCTTTCAGAGGCTGTAAGCTGATAATCACAAGCGAGATACAAGCTGTTAAGAATACATACCCTGGCCTAAAAGTACCATGATGGCCTTTCCCAAACATGCACAAGTCACTGGAAGACTGATCACAGACTCTGTAATTGTTTGGCTACTAATTTCCAAGTTACAAGAATCCTCTCAGTAAAGCCGAGCCAAAAATGGGCAAGCACCGTATTTTTGCAAGAAACTGTCAAATAACAGTTTAGCAACATGCAAAACCAGATACAAACTATCATAGCTCGTGAGTTAAAAAACTCCTGTTCCTTGAATGGTGGGAACTGGCAAAGTCCCCGTCACCTATGCTAGAGGAAGATCTATTGAGCACCTGAGGCTGAAGCTGCGTGCATCAGGCTAGCATTTTGCCTCTGCTTTGGACTCGGCTCCATTTTAAATATGCAGAGCATAGTGTGAGCATTTAATCAAACCTGTCTCCATCCTGATCACGTAATTACCATTAGAAAGAATAGCAATGTGTCCCTAAACTATAGATTGATGAGCCATCTGTAAGCTGAAACAAAGAGCAGAAGGAAGCTTAATTGAATCAAATATTTAGAATACATTATCTTGTAGTTACTCAGAAGCTGGCCTTCTCTTCAGGCTTCTGTCCTGCACGTCTGGAATTCATCATCACTAACTGCATTTAATCCTTCAACCTTACTATAAAGTGACTGCTGATAATATATAATTATGGTTTAATTCAAGTGGTGAATCAGCTTTGGGGAATTTGTGGAGACAATGGGAATTTAGGCTTTCATTAGGTGGTGAGAGTGGACCACATGATAATGCAGAGCAAGTCTTTGTCTCTCTCTAACAGCAAGATCATGTATGGGAGCTTATGAGTCTGCTCACCCCTCCCGGGTAACACATCTGCCTGAGCTACTGCTCATACTGTAGAGGCTCAGGACTTTCTACCCCTAGAGGAGCTGACCTGGGGGCACATCTGTTGCCCAAACCCTACCACCCAGCTGTTCATGCAACACTGGCATCTCTTCTAGTTGCAAGGGTTGACCCCAGAGAGGCCAACACAGGTGACAAACATACAGCTGGGACTTGCTCAAAAGCAAGTGGGGCTGAAGGATAGTGCATAAAAAAAAAATCCCCCTAGTACAGTAACTCCCAGAAGCCACCATAAGAATAAAAGCATGTAATCCTAGCTGCTGGTTGGGGTATGTCAGTCCCTGCTCCAAAGACAGAATCATAGAAACATTAAGGTTGGAAAACATCCTTAAGATCATCGAGTCCAACCGTTAACCTAGCACTGCCAAGTCCACCGCTTAAACCATGTCCTCAAGCACGACATCTACCCATCTTTTAAATACCTCCAGGGATGGAGACTCAACCACTTCCCTGGGCAGCCTGTTCCAATGCCTGACTACCCTTTTGGTGAAGAAGTTTTTCCTAATATCCAACCTAAACTTCCCCTGGCGCAGCGTGAGGCCGTTTCCTCTCGTCCTATCGCTTGTTACTAGGGAGAAGAGACTGATCCCCACCTCACTACAACCTCCTTTCAGGTGGTTGTAGAGAGCAATAAGGTCTCCCCCCAGCCTCCTCTTCTCCAGACTAAACAACCCCAGTTCCCTTAGCCGCTCCTCATAAGACTTGTGCTCTAGACCCTTCACCAACTTTGTTGCCCTTCTCTGGACACAATCCAGTACCTCGATGTCCTTCTTGTAGTGAGGGGCCCAAAACCGAACACAGTACTCGAGGTGTGGCCTCACCAGTGCCGAATACAGGGGGATGATCCCCTCCCTGGTCCTGCTGGCCACACTATTCCTCATACAAGCCAGGATGCCACTGGCCCTCTTGGCCACCTGAGCACACTGCTGGCTCATGTTCAGGCGGCTGTCAACCAGCACCCCCAGGTCCTTTT